TCTTTCTCTACATATTTCATCATATATATATTTCATCATATGTATCTTCTGCCTTTACTAAAATTAGATAAAACCTCTACCTGTTTAAACATTCGTGTATTTACTTAGACCACTCAAATCTCGATATAAGAAGTCAGAAAATTGTAAGATTAATTATGATTAATGGAAATGTTATGTCTTTAAATGCATTATTTATGTTTTGTGAAACTGTCCCGTTTCAACCGCATAAACTAAATGATGAGTATTATTCAGATTACATTTGAAAAAGAGAATAAATTCAAAGACGAGACATAAATTTTTACTTATGGGAGAAGATTGTAATTAAATCGTCTCTCTTCGAGAGAATTTAATCGCTAGTTAAAATTTTTCAACACTTCTCTCGCGAGAAATCCAATTCACCGGCATTTTAATGGCTTCGAAGTTTCTTCCCGGTTTGTTGGCACATTCGGAGATAAAAGTTCCGTCGAGCATATAATTGATTGCAACACTTTTACGCGCCCCTCCAATTCGCTTTTGGGTGCAGCGTTTTTTTTTTTTTTTTTTTTTTTCGTGACTTCTAGTCGTTCAAACAATTAGGAATGCCGAAAGTTTTCCCGTTTTCAGACATTCCATCGGAGACTATTAGAAAAAAGTTCTTAATTAAATTGTGGCTTTTGTTTATTGAAAATTTTACCCTTTTTTTTGCTTAAGTGATCCATTTAATCTGACCAGACGATTAAAATAAGATATTTTCATCTCTTTTAAATGTCATTTTTCCCTTTGAAGTGTTGCATATATTGTTTAATATTTCTATTTATTTTTTTATATTCCCCTCTTCATTTTCTATACGCGTGTTTTTTTTATTCATATAATATTCTGTCATTACTATTCTGCTTTGCATATCTACATTTCATATCTAGTTCCTATTGTGGATACAAGATCTACTTACCCCGATTTTTGCGTGTGCATCTCATTTCTTTTTATAGATATTAAAGAAAAAAGAATCTCTCCGTGTAAAATTTTTCTCCGCACAATCTGAAGGAAATTCATCCCAGGCGTAGGATAAATTTACACCTTCCCGGCTATCTTTATATATCATCTATATATCCCACATCTATTTCTGTGTGCGCGTGGCATATTTTTTTTATATATATTTTTTTCACGAAAGAGCAAATTTTCGCCGATATGTTTAGACCGGCGGCCGGCCGTGAGGGTGGTCATGCGAAAAAGGCTAAAAGTTTAGCGGGCTGCCCTAGTTTTCCGAAAGAGCGACGGCGCGACGCGAGCCACATCGGTGGAGCAAGGAGGATCGCGCGAGGTTGCAGCGCGCGCCAGAGAGAGAGTCAGCTTATTTCTATCGATCCTGACGATAGTGGAGGAGAGTTCGCAGCGGCCGACTCGGCGGCGCGGCGCATGGCGACACGGCGCCGTGGCCACCTATGCTCCGCGGCCTTTAATCCGTCGCGACGCCCCCAACGGATGTCGGGACGACGTCGTCGTGGTTGTTGATTCGCGAGAGAAAGAGAGAAAAGCCGTCGTCGCATCAGCTGGTTCGAGAGATCGCGCGCGCCTCTCGCTCTCCCGCCCTTTTGCTCTTCCGGTTTCTCCCTTTCGTATCCATCTGCCGTCACCGCCGCGATCGATCGATCGATCGAAGTCGCGAGGATCGAACGATCCGATGAGATTTGACAAATGGTCATCTGACAGCTAGCGCGACCAAAAGTGCGCCGCGACGTCGTAACTCCACCTCGACGATCAGTACTCATCCTCCAGCGGCGGAACCGCAGCGGCATTACGTCATTGTTCCGCCTACGCTACGGAAGAACAGGTGCGCGTTCGATCGCACGTCCGAGACAGTCGGTGTTCGAATGCGAGTGCGTAAATTGAGTGCTTCGCGCGCGCGAGATCGGTGGTTAAATAAGGAGGTGTGAATGAAAAATCGGATGAGACGTGCGTCTGTTTGCTAATGAGATCCAGTGCGAGATTTCATGAGACATACATTCAGGATAATAATTAAATAGACAATATATATGTAGGATGTATTACTCTTCGTGATGAAATAGTGATGTGCTTCAGAACGATTTGACAAAAATGTCATCACATATTATAAACAAATTATGCATTCTATATCGCATTTCGATTACTAAACAAAGGTTCAAGGACTGACGTGCAAGCAAACGGAAGACAGTAATGCCTATACGATTGTTGCGTGAATTTTCGATGGAAAAATAAACAATGAAGAAGCCAGATTACGCTCTCACTAAAAAAGTAAGCTACCGCGCATATAAATTAATTTTCTTATATATTACGTAATTGTATTACGTGACATTAGTGATCAGGGATTTTGCGAAAACGCCCTATAAATTATTCTAGCAGCGTCGCATTATTACTTGTCGATATGCAATATCACGAACGCGTATATATGTATCTCCTTTGCCCTTTTTAGTATTGCGTAACATCACGGCGTTGGAAAATCCATTTTCTCGACGGTGACGCGTCTGCTTTTGCGAAAAAGGAGGACGCGCGCGCGAACGTGGAATTGAAGTCTCGGATCGGGAGCATACGATACAATAATGCAATCCGTGCCGCAGCTGCGAGCAATGCGCGTTTGCGTTGACGCGCGTATCCGACTGGCAGAAACAGATGCTGCGGACGTTTACGCACATCCGGCGCGCATTCTCCGCTGCACGGAGAGACCATGCAAATCCCCGTTCAGGGTTGAGCCAATCCCGACGGAATGGGATCTCGGGGATGGAGCTGACCCAAAACTCTCCATTAATCGTTCAACGATTTAATAAATGATGAGGAACTTTATAAGGGAGTATCGCAGCGTGTATTATATTCTCTCTTGGATTTTTTTAATAAAAACATTTTTTTTATTTATCGAAGCTATTAATAAAGTGATAAACAACGAGTTGCGTGTAAATTTGTGCTATCGCAGTTACGCTACTTAATTGGTGGCGTGTATAAAAACCTAGCATTTGTAATATTACAAAAATTCGCTATCTGAAATCATTTTTTTTAAATGATGATTTTTGTCTCCGCGGTAATTTTTTGATAATATTTTTTAATAGCAATCAAATAAAATTTTAAATACATTAAATGAATTTATATTATAAAAATTTATTATGCTCTTTTATTACTAATATAGCTTTTTTATTGTTATCGCCTAAAAACAAATTTTTGCATTTATTATGTTACATAAAAATATGAAATTTGATAAATTATAAAGCGATTTGTTATTATTTTAATTATATTATTAATCTCGTGTAATGACATACTACTTACAGTAATGATAAATCAATAATAATAAATTCCAAAAAAAAATGGCTGCAACGTTTGACGTGCGCGAAAATGATTGTGATTCTACTAATTGTTTCGTAGATGATATGCATCTCATGCGCGACAAGTGAATTGCATTTGTCGCGTGGAATTAAGATAAGCAAAGGGACAATCGCGAATGCATTCGCAGTTAACGCGACTTTAATGTGACCCCGGCGGCGTACCGACTGTTAACTCGAGGTCTTCGTTAACGCGAGCAATTGCAAGGGGTTGTTGAAATGAGGTTGCAACCGAGACACGGTGGCACGATTACATCAGATGTGGTTGAATAAGTCGCTCGCAGGAATTTTCGCTAATCGCACTCGAGGTGACAGCGATGACGTGATATTCTCGGAATTACCATTGTCTTTTTCGAAAAATTGCGGATTGAATATATAAACGCCGTTTCTTTATAAATAAACATTTTTCTTCTCTAGTGACATTAACGAATGCGTTCCATAAAATTAAAAAAAATCATATTCGAACGTGCAAAGTCTAGAGACTAGAGTGGCTTTTCGCATAAGTTTCTACAAAATGTATAGTTTCTTTCGATAATATTTTTTTTTTAGAAACGTTACATACTCCTATATGTAAGGGCATTTAGCTGGTACATAAACATCCCGATGACTCGAACCTGGATGCACGTAAGCGCTTACGTAGAAAGTTTCATTGATCGACGACGTGTTTTTGCGTCATCATTGTGCGAATTCATGCGTAATCATTATTATACAGGATTGCTGATACTCGTTACTTAACATATCAAAAAGCGAATATTTATATATCTAGAAAAATGATATTAAATTTTTAAAAGTAATTTTTCAAAAAGAATATCTTTCGCAATAATTTATTTTCTCTGGAAAAATTCAAACATAAAATACTTTGAATAATTAATTTTCCAATGTAACATTTTCATATGTATATGAACATATACATATTGTATTATGAGAAAATAACCGATAATCTTGTTTACTACGTCGCGGGACAGAACTGCGCAGTTCGTCAAAATTTCACGATTGTAATTAAGGTTGCAACCGTGTGATTTCGCGCGATATAATTGCACTTTGGCATATTGAGTCGCTGCATATACAAAATACGCATCACCGTCAGTCTCCCTCTGGCGTCGCTTTAATCTCGTGAAATGTGATATTCCAATATTTCATCCGGGGGAATCTTTGTTTAGTCGATCAAGATGCATTTATGCGCGCGATATGACGCTACATATGCATATACTGCAGTCTACCGACATCGTTCGAGAACTGTCGTTATTCACGCAAGTCCTCGCATTATGCATCTCGTTATGTCGGAGTACACTTGAAATCCGGACGAAGACAAGTGCTCGGCGGTAATCGAATTTATCAACGAATCTTCTAGTTAACATGATAATCGCAGCCAAGAACACGGAGGATTATTTCTGCACTTTGATTGACGCGATTGCATCAGAGTGGTTGCTTGCGAGATTAAAATACATTTTGATACGAATATTTCAGCGTGAATTTTTGATGAAGAACATTTTCACACACTTTATAATTTATAAATGCACTTTTGTATTTCTTTTTATTTCTTTAAAATACTATTTTTATCTAAAAATATTTTTATATGAGAACTAGATAATTACATATAATTGTTAATAACTTATTACGACAACTTGATACTCTGGAAAGTGCTGTCAATTAAATATCGACTTGTTTCGTATGTTACAGGGAAGTACGCACTGTCGTATTAAATAAAGGTTCTTCCGGCCTTGGTTTCAACATCGTCGGCGGTGAAGACGGCGAAGGCATCTTCATCTCGTTCATTTTAGCCGGAGGTCCGGCCGACCTCAGTGGTGAATTACGCCGAGGCGATCAGATACTGAGCGTTAATGGTATCAACCTCCGAACAGCCACTCATGAGGAGGCTGCGGCGGCCCTCAAGGTAGGGATCTTGCTTTATTCACGTTATACGACACATATAATCAATTCCTCTTTGAATGAAAAAAAATTTAATATTAAAATAATAGAAAATTATGTACAAAAAATCCGTAAAACAATTTTATATCACTCGTGAAATCTCGAATTAGAGTTCTCTCTAAATATTGAACGTAAATTTGCGATAAAGGTGCGATAATTTAGGCATTTTAATTTGCCATCTTTTTTTGCATTTCGCAAACTTCGAGCGATATGTCGGAAATAATATATTCGATTTTCGTGGACCTGGTGATGCTTAGGGCACTGGCCAGACAGTGACGATCGTGGTGCAATATAAACCCGAGGATTATAACAGATTCGAAGCGAAGATCCAGGATCTTAAACAACAAATCTCGCAACAAAATGTGATGACAGGCACCCTCATGAGGACCTCCCAGAAGAAATCACTTTACGTTAGGTAATTCCCCGCGAAATCCTTTTAACGATCAATTAATATTCGCGAGAGCTATTTCGCGCGTATTTATTTCAAGTAGCGAAAATAAATATAAACCTTTCCTCCTCGAAGAGCGTTGTTCGATTACGACCCCAACAAGGACGATGGTCTACCGAGCCGTGGCTTGGCATTCCGTTACGGTGAGATTTTACACGTGACGAACGCCAGCGACGACGAATGGTGGCAGGCAAGAAGGGTCACCCCACAAGGCGACGAAGAGGGTCTGGGCATAATACCTTCGCGCAGGCGATGGGAGCGCAAGCAGCGTGCCAGAGACCGTTCTGTCAAATTCCAGGGACACATGCCGGTCATTCTTGATAAGGTAAGTCGAATCGAAATTGCTCGGACCTTATTTTCTCTAGTAATAAATCACGAGATGCGATGAAAGTTAATTTATTCAGAGAAGATTATAAATATATCTTATATAGTAAAATTCAATGCAATAATTCGGATTTATGCACACATTATATAGTTTAATATTTTCAAATTTTTTCTTAATGCAATTCTTTTAATTGTACGTTTGTTCTTAGATCAAATATTTCATTTTTTAGTATTTTTTTATATTCAAATTGCTCTAGAAATATTATAAAATAAAATATTAAATCGTCAATGTGTGAATGTGATAAACATATATTTGATATAATCGCTCTGTTGCTTTAAAATTATATAATTAAAAAGTTTGCTTAAGCATTTTTATGGTAAAACTATGTTTCCATGCATTTCTGGCGCAATGAAATAATTTACAATGCGCATAATCGAAAAAGCATGTCCACCTGCCAATGTTTCCCTCGGACTCATTAACACTAATGAGAATAGACGGCTAATGAATATTCATACAGCAATCGATAACCGCAGATTTCGTTTACTATAAATTCAGTATGATCAGAGACAAAGATAGTCGCTTTCAATTCGCATGTCAAGCTATGATGTTATCTCTCTAAAAAAATATCTCAATTTCCTAAAAGATAAATATTTGAAAATCGTCACACGAATGAATATAATCGACGCACACAAAATATATATTTGTTTTAATCGCAATTTGCGAATTACGATATTCGATTTCGGATGCAGTGAACTCATTGATTTCAGCAATCGACGTTAGACCGGAAGAAAAAGAACTTTTCGTTCAGCAGGAAGTTCCCATTCATGAAGAGTAAGGACGATAAGTCCGAGGATGGCTCCGATCAGGAACGTGAGTATCTAGATTGTTTTCTTTCTCCCGTCTCCTGCACGTTCTGTGCATGTTCTCTGGCCCATATTTACTGTGTTTTACGTGTTTTTTCTCGTATGTATATCCGCCTATATATTTATACCGTATATATATATAACATATATATACTATGCGATTTTTAACAGCTGAAATTATTATTAATGATTCGTCACCTGTGTGACAGAATCGTCTGAAGTTATTTGTCATTTATTAGAGAAAAGTATTCTTTGTCGTTTATATTGTAGAGTACTGTAACTTGGTTTTATTTGTTCCACGCAGTGTTTTTAACTATAAAATTTAATGCAATACCTACTTATTTAATGCAGCCCTGATTTTTATATATATATAATCGCTGTTTTTTCGCGCGAATCTTTCAGAGGCTTATAATGCAGTGAGTAGTAGAAAGAATTCTAACAGAAATCAGTGCTTGATATTAATTTTCATGCAAAGATCAAGGATAATTGTTTAAATAAAATTATCAGAGTATGAGGTCCCAACTTGCGACGCGATGAGGCCCGATCAGACACGGCCAAAATCCCGAATGAGCTTTTGTGTTTTTTATCATGTGAAAACGTGACATGTGTTTTGTTTTGCCTGCTTGTGTAGGAACGCCCACCACACCCGAGAATGAGAACGATCCCACCCGTAAGTATTTTAATTAGTCAGACAAGTAATAAGCTCTGTAAATGCGTGCGCTTTCATCATTTCTCGTACGCGATATTTAATGACGCATCGCGTCAAGCTTTGAAATCCACATAGAAACACGTGATTCGAGCGAAATTGTAGCAACATATCGAGGTAAAACACAATTTGTACATAAAGAATAAATATTTTTTTTTCCCGCTGAAACTGTCAAATTATAACAGCAAAAGTTAAAATTGAGGTAGTACCAGAATTTTAATGCTGCAATATAATATAAATAAAACTGTGCATATTTTTATATTGCATTTATGCTTTGATAAAGCATACATACATATAATTTATCTTGTCTTGATCGAGTTGACGTATCGATTGCCATCGAATCTCGCGAATGTTACGTTGCGAACAGTATCGCTTGCAACCATTCAGTTAGAGAGAAAGCAGCCGCAACATTCATCCCAATTTTGCTTGCGCATGCACGATGCACTTTGAACTTTTCTCCGCTCCGCAGAATCTCTGGTTTACTAACACTCCGTCCGACACGCTCTTTATTTACGCTCTCGACTTGGCTTCTAACTTTTGGCTTTTCACTATTGGAGGTTCTGTATAGCCTGTATAGTGTAGCGGTCCAGCACAGTAGAACGAATGTTCCTCTCAAGATTTAATGTGTAGCTCGTATCCTCTCTTTTCTTTTTCTTTCTTTTTTTTCCACTTGAAGGATGGCGAGTAGATGCGATAGAAACGCAGCCCGTTCTTAATCTCGAAGAATCGTCTCACTGATGCACTTCATCGTCATCTTCATCACAGATCATTCGGACACTTCGATCGAAAATGAAATGTTTAAATGCTAGATGCATGTAAGACGCATTCTCACTGTTAGATTGAGAAAAGTTCTTGTGTGTCGCTCCTCCGAAAATCTTTTCGCGACTCGACATATTGACTATATGAATACCGAAAGGTATTACATACGCTTATTGTAACACTTAGATGAGAAAAAAGGCGCAAGGAAGAGTGTTGACAGTCTGGAGCAGCTGATATCTTTTTTTTTTCCTTCTTGGATATTTTTTTCGAGCATGAGATTCTAATGATTATTCGTGAGAACACACTCTGGCATACACTGGTATAAATTGTGCGTTACGTTACGCTTCTAATGTGATGCTTATACATACATACATATACGGATGAAAAAAAAAAAACCGCGAACATTCCATCGAGAACGTTTTCAGTGTCGTGATCGTTGCACGAGATGTTGCATCCCGCGCACGAGATAAAATATTACGTGTGAAAAGGGATACAATTCTCCGCTTCAGATACATATGTATACGCGTATCACGTGAACATTTTGCAACTTTCATAGTCCATCGAATCCATCTCGTGCGTGCGTTCAAAATTTGCGCACGTACACGCAGTAGGAGAGTCTCTCCTCCGAGAAAGTCTAGCGCTTTTAATTAATTGTAGCGATAATTAACGGCCGCTTACTTATAGTACGCAACGTATACTGAAATATATTCAACTTGTTATGTTCTAGCATTCATGCTGTGCTACACCCAGGACGACACTAACACTGAAGGTAATCATGTCTCTCTCTCTCTCTGTCTCTCTTTCTCTTTCTATATCATCTCTCTTCGTTTCCACTCGATTTATTTACCTATCTATTACCCTGTTTCTCTCTCTTTCTCTTTTCTTCTCTTTTTTCTTTCTTTTTATACATTCATATCTTTTTCCTATTTTTCCTCACACCGAAGAGATCGTATTGCCTGGGTCAGCTACAAGATAATGAATTTCGGTCACGAGATTGTTTCACGATTATGTGCATGGAAAGATTTAATTAATATTACATATAAAAATTACATTACATTATTATTGTGAATAGCAATTCACATTGTCTCATATAATATCATCTAATAAATGCGCTCGGATATATTAATTTATATAATAGGGAATGTAAAATTAAGCATAATTTACGGATCTAATTTTCGTTAAAACGATTATATACAGAGACTTATAAACACATAATGATGAAACGTTCTGACCGGAAAATCACGATGTATTCTCTAGGGGTCCACCGTTTCATTCTTGCGAGATAATCAATCACGCTTGCGTTCATTCAACAATGATAATTCAGATATCAAATGTCAGCCTTTATATACAATATATATACGTCGCCATGGGCAACATAGCATCGCAACATCTATTGTTTTGCTCCGATGGTAGCATATACAAGATGAAAAGGTCAACTCGAGGTTTTTAATAGTAATGATGTAATTCCTACAATTAAAGCATATATGCATTTCTCAATTTTTTTTCAACCCTTAAGAATACACGGTAGACATAAAACAGTCAAATTCTATTAAAACAGAATTGCACGAAAATAATTGACAATGTAATAGAATGATAAAATATAAGATATATAATTAGAAAATTATTTTTTTTTAAGAAATTAAAAAATCAAATAAATTATTTTTCGTACACAAAAAAAGACATCTATAAACCTTATAAATTTGAAGTGAAACCTGTGTGAATCTGAAAGCTGCCAATATGATTTCGAGTCGACTGGAAATGCTGGCCGATCACTGAGAACTTGCGGCGAATTCATTATTGTTCATCCGCGAAACTTGGCGCTTAAAGTCACTTATTGTTAGATCTCACTCTAGGATCTTAATTATCCGAATGCTCTTCCTCGCAGCCGCGTCTTCGCCGTCCATCACTCGCCTCTCATTCACATTACGTAAAATGCCCTTCTCTTATTCATTCAAGGTTTGTCTTGCGCTACAGGGAGTAAAGAAATTTTGTATCGCGTTCAGCTGCCGTATATGGAGGAACTCACGTTAGTTTATCTGGAAATGGAGGGCGATGAGCCCAATGACGAGCTTAGTAAGTCGTAGCCGAGAGCAAATGTGTGAATCGGAGTGTGAGCGCATCGCTTACACACAACCGATTTTTTCTTATATTATTTATTTAGATTTTTTTTTCTTATTAGGAAACTAACGCAGACAGTTGTAACCCCCCATCGACGGGCGATTGTCCCGAGAAAGATATTCGGATGAATAACCATGTGATTTTGTAATCCCGGGTGTGTCAGCGCTCTAACGATCTTTGATATCGACCTAGAAATCTTTCGATCCATTCCCATTAACGCTTCTATTGTCATTCGAATTGAATGCGGACCAAGGTCGCGGGATTCATTTAAGCGCGGCTGCAAATTACATGAGATTAATATAACTTGATACTCGAGTGATGGAACGGAAAGAGATAACGTTTTCATTTCCTTGTATCGTCCTTTCATTTTATTTTAATTAATTTTAATTTTATATACGACGTGTAAGACTTTGTCTGCCGTTGCCACATATTTCTACAACATTATTTGTTTCTTCGCGATGATAAAAAAAATCCAAGCGCAATACAATTCTCTTCGTTTAAGATACCAATCGAGAAACGTCTATCTCGTCTCTTCGGCAGACGTTAATTTCCCGGATCTTTTCTTCGCGTTAAATTACTGAGGAAACGTGCTCCGCGCTTCGCTCGCAATTGAGACAGCCGCGCGACGTGCTTCCACGACCTGTTTTCTCGTGTATTTTTTTTTTGTTCTCTCAATCGTAGAGCCCCGTAGACATTAACAGCAGCAGATGCAATTAGAGAGCGCGCAAATAGACGAAGAAATCGCGTCGCTTACTTCTTGTCGTCGCCGGAAAACAGGCGGCAGTGTCTCTTCCTCACGTTCGGAGCGCAAAAGTTCCGGACACGTATTCGATTATCGGGATTGAAATCCGAGAGGAAGTAGCGACGATGACACTTTGCGCTCGCATTAATATCAAGTGCGTGCATATAGCGGGACAGCTCTATATAAGTATATCGATTTACAGATATAGAGATCTCTTCCCCTTCTCTCTATCAATGTAGGTACTAGTGTACATAGTCGCTAGACACGTTTACTAACACCATTTTTTATACATCCTGATTATATCCCTGGATCGCTTAGATTTTCTAGTCATTAGGAAATTTAGCTTGCTCCCCGCTTATTCAATTTGATTTCCCGGACGTTGAAAGCATGCATCATCGTGAATCGTCCGACGAGAGAAACGTGTATATACCTTGTGTACTTGTCCGAAAAACGCCGATGGAGCAAGAGAGAGAGCCGGGACTACTTGAAACAGTTTTGGGAGGTTGACATTTCAGAGAATTGATATCTGTCAACCGGGCTCGGAGATTGTTTCAAGTGGATCCCCCAATGTGCTCTCTCCCTCTGTACATATATATATATATATATATATATATATATATATATATATATATATATATATGATATTGTCCCGCGTCCGTTTGTTTTTCATAGAAGTGTCGATTAATCAATGACATCACGAGGGATCATCGTAGAGAGCTTTGTCTTTCGGGATCGGTTGAAGGACCGCGCTGGAATCTTGTTTGTCTTCGGGACAAGAGTGTTGCTTTTTTCCTGTCGTTGAGAGTGGACAAACCCTGTGTGTGTATATCTCCCGTCGAAGGTTTGAAGGAATGCGAGATTTGCTAACAATGAAAAGAGAGGAGCCTCTCATCTTCCCAAAGGGGAAGGAAGTGGAGGTCAGGAGGATGACATATGTCGTGTATGTACGATGTTTGATTAAAACATTACAGGCAGCGAAGAGAACGTGCTGTCATACGAAGCCGTGCAACAGCTGACGATACAGTACACTCGTCCTGTGATCGTTCTCGGACCGCTCAAGGATCGCATCAACGACGATCTCATCTCGGAGTTCCCTGATAAATTCGGCAGTTGTGTACCACGTGAGTGTCTCTCATCCGATATTTCAATAATTTTTATCAGTAATGGTGGTTGTCATACACGATGACTTGTTTAGCAACATATGTAACGAGACAAAAAACTGACTTTATATATGTATTATCTTGACATTGTTAATAACCGTCTTTAATGTTTAATATTACAATTCAATTTATAATTAAAATATTTGTATTGCGCTGAAGAAGGCTTGAAATGTCAGCCGAAACGTTCGCATAAATGTTTATTTCTTATGTATTTATTATTTCGTTTAAATGAATTTTATTAATATCATCTGTATCAACTGTATTATGTTTAATAGCTCTTATAGCCCTTCTTTGTTTACAATTGTTAAATTTAACAGAGCTAATTACTATTTTTATTAAATAATTTTGTTACGCGCAGAATTATGCCGAATTTTTGATCGATCTGTTTGCCTACAGATACAACAAGGAGTAGAAGAGAATACGAAGTGGACGGACGAGATTATCACTTTGTAGCCTCGAGGGAACAAATGGAGAGAGATATACAGAATCATTTGTTTATAGAGGCCGGACAGTATAACGACAATCTTTACGGAACGTCCGTGGCATCTGTGAGAGAAGTTGCCGAAAAAGTACGTACAACGTTTTGTTGATACCAAATTTTAATTTGTAATTTCTCATCGTGAAAAATATACATAATATTATACAATTTACCATCTTTTCCAGGGCAAACACTGCATTCTTGATGTGAGTGGAAATGCTATCAAGAGGTTACAAGTAGCCCAACTCTATCCCATTGCCATCTTTATCAAACCGAAATCGATCGAATCTGTCATGTGAGTTTAATATAATTCGATCGATATCTAATATGAAAATTTCATTATTATCTGTTTCAATTAAAATATCGATTTTTATAATTTTGCAGGGAGATGAACAAGAGGATGACCGAGGAGCAAGCAAAGAAAACGTACGAACGCGCTCTGAAAATGGAACAAGAATTTGGTGAATACTTTACTGGTACGTCTCGTTTTTAAACTCTTAATTAATCTTTCAATTTATAAAAAAAAGCTCTTTCGTATACTATAAGCGATGTTAAGCAACTAACGATCGAAATAATAATTTATATTAAAATCAAGTAAAATCTAATATTCGATCCCATTAACCGAATCGTTGTACTTTCGCAGCCGTCGTCCAAGGAGACACTCCCGAAGAGATCTATGTAAAAGTGAAGGAAGTGATTTCCGAGCAATCAGGACCGAACATCTGGGTTCCATGCAGGGACCAACAACTGTGACGTCCTGCCCCCCACGCTCAGCATGGGCCCAACGCCTGGACCCTGCCACCGAGGCGGCAAGCTTAATTATTCACGATAAATACGATTGAGTAACGCTCTAACGCCGCCCTTTTCCCGTGCCTCCCTCTCTCCCTCCCGTAATCCCATCAATTATTCATGTAGCACAAGGTCCCTACTTAAGGCGCGCAACGCGACGTATTTAAGTCGAGAAAATACTTAAGGGTACGATCCTTCATGATATCATCCTGACCACTTTGCCCGCGAAAAAAATTGATAAATCTAAAGTCAGGCTGGTGACACGTGTGATTTATTATTCTCCCCTTAGTTCGAAATCTAGTGGAAAATTGTCGAGCGCAACGAGGGAACTGGACTACTCTCGTATGTGCTCGTATCGTGTTTGAATTTTATCGCGACTGATGTCTCCGATGAAAAAGAAAGTAACGGAGAGAAATTCGCAATTTTTATCATATGACCATCGATTATTTGTGTGTAATCGTCTTTAATTTTAGTAATTAACCTCGCAAACTAGAGGCATTGTACAATTGCTCGGAGAAACTTATGACGTGTACGTCGAGATCGAATGAGCAGGCAACTCGGAAGGGTTTCTTCGAATCGGAGAACTCGACCGAAGTGATCGCGTATTCGATCGTATCTTATTCTCGAGCACGGTATTTTTTAATGTACTTAAGCGCAGTTTTTAACGCGCCAGGAACTCGTCGAGTTTACTTGGCGAATTCGATGAAACAGGAGAAACGCGGCTAGGAGAGAAAAAACTTATAGCCCCAGCGACGTTATGTATGTGTTAACGCGAACTTCACGATTATAAAAGAAACACAGAAAAAAATGCAGAAAAAAAGAGAAAAGAAACCTCACAGGACAAATCTTTAGCTGTTAGATACACACATAGCGATATATAATGTTTTGTACAGCTAGATAACTAAGCCAGTAACTGGGTTATGTGCAACATTATATTTGCGACATGGGCGATGCGAAAAACGAGAAAAAAGAGAGAAGGAGCAAAAAACACTATTGTAATTTAAAAATATCACTACTAAATTATTACTATATGATAGTAGGTATGTGTATTATTGTAAATACATATTATACTCGCGTATATAATGTCGAAACGGAGAGACGTAGCAGACGGAGGTAAGGGATCGAAGAAAGTAAGAGAGAGAAGAGAGAGAGAGAGAGAGAGAGAGAGAGAGAGAGAGAGAGAGAGAGAGAGAGAGAGAGAGAGAGGAAGAAGCACACATTGGCGGCTTTTTCTTCATACGCAGCTCAGCTACGCGATATCATTCAATATCCTAAGGAAGTGATGAATTTCACGCCCATTAGTCGCGTTCTCGTAAAAAAAATTTTCGGCGTGAGCGTAGGTTTATGCCGCTCCTTTGTATCTTAAGGTATAGTTCTTTGCATCGGATCAATCGCTGAGCGAATGTGAGAGATTAAACTTGCACGAGTTATCAGCGGATCGATGCAATTGGCAAAAAGACAGAGAAGGAGAAGATAGAAAATCAATGATGTACTTATATGATGTGTCGCGGGAGAATTATATAAAAGGCGTAAACGGATGAAGCTGCGGCTTTCGGTCAGGTTCCATCAGGTGGGCCTAATACCGAAAATTGATTTTCCCAATAAGCGGAGATTTTTTATCTGTGAATTTGCGTTTAGAATAAGCGACTCTCGATAATAAAATCTCTCGCTTGGCCTTCATTCGTTCATCGGGCTATGAGCTCGCAATCGCGTGCACTATCGATGCTTTGTCCGCTTGCTTCTTCCGTTTCCCTAGCATTAATCGCGCGAAAAGATATAATAATATAGGGTTTTCCCGATGGAAACGATGCGAACCGGATATCGAATTGTTGCAACACGAGGTGTCATTACGACAATTTAATTGTAATATAGCTATTGTCGTTGATACACAGAGATATGCGAGTCGCGATCATAGAGATTACGACGACGATGATATAATGATAACAATGATGGCATATAATGATGATTGCCCGGAATAGAGCCGTTCTTTTTTTCTCCCTTATTTCGTAGTAAACATTTGAACTCGCGAGGACCGATAATATCGCGCAGATATACGCTTTCGGGCTATTTTTTCCTACCGCGAGTCCTAGACTATTATCATTAAGCGCGCATCACAATACGAGATAGAGCGAGATACGGAGCGACGAGCTTCGGCTTGTGCCTGAAGGACAGAAGGCCTGGCTTCGTTAAGTTGTCGAGTAATGTCTGTCTCGATGTAAAAGACCGTATATAAAGAGAATAATTACTGCAGACACCTATTATACACCTCTATAGTCTATTTAATAATATTACTTATTGAATTGTCAATCTCATGTTCACCTTGTTTCATCGTTTTTAAATAGTTAATAAACGTTTTACCAATTTTACTACCGTCATCTGTGCATCTTTGACCCCTTCCTGCTCTTCCTAAAATATATTTTAATGATATTATATAAATAATTGTTGTTACGATGGTTGACAGATATTCAAAGTAAAAGAAAGCAATTTAGAATATTGCGAATCTATTTTAAGAGCTAAAACTGAATAATTTTGTAACTTTCGTTATTATATACAGAAGTAAAAATTTAATGTAAAACTTGCAAAGTTTGGAAATTTTTTAAAAATCTTACATTTTTAATATAGTTTTATGCTAGAAATAATTGGGAATCGCAGAAGAATGTAAAAACGTTTCGGTAAAAATACTTGTTTTTATTACATCGATAGGATATAACTCATTGTTATCAGCGAAAAAAAAAATCACAAATATTTTTTCATTAAAAAGTCATTCGTCGAGTCGGTTGAACGACTCGCTTATTAACGACTACGGCAATGACAATAATAACGATAATTCCTTTTTACACGAATCACAGTAAGACTCTAATTTGTTCGTCAACGTTGTCTCGAACTAAACCTCTGAAATAAAATATATATTTGTATATATATATTTATACTTTTATATTTATATATTTACTCATCTTCATATATATATATATATATATATATATATATACTTATATTCATTATATAACTTCTGTTTCTTTATCCGCATAAAAGCAGCAGCATTTTAACACATTTAGAAGTTTTTTTTGAATATATAAATTACAAGAGGGACGATAGGAGAGAGAGAGAGAGGCGTTGTGTGAATGTTACACGACTAAGAAAATGTACATTCATCATTAACTACTATGTATATATAGTACAATAAAAAAGCGTGTAGTCGTAGATAATAGTAATGAATAATAGTAGTAGTAGTAGTAATAGTAGTAGTAATAATAATAGTAATGAATAATAATAGTAATAGAGTAATAGCGATATTCGCGGTAGTGATAGTAGCAGTAGTAATAATAGTAATAGTTCTGGTAATCGCAACGTGAAATGTATATACATACTTTATCATGTTACACAACGTGACTATTTCGGTTAATGCTTTACATTATACACAAATAATATATACGCTAATATAAACAAATGATCTACATCTTACATTTCAACTACTTAAGAATAAAAGATACATAATATGTACAATACGTACACAATTGTTTTCTATCGTTCTGTTAGAGAGAAAAGTAACTCTTTCGCATTTCGCACTCTCCTCTTATATCTCCATTTTTTCGTTTTTGTGGTTCTCTTTACTGAAAATATGTTAGTATATATGTATTTACAATTATGGTAGTATACCTGCGCCTCTCTATTCATTCATGTCAGCTAAATAAAATTATAAGAAGCCGCCTGATCGCATTCCGCGACGTTACATCGTATTAACATTAATTAGTATCACTCGATATTACAATTATATTAATTCGATATTACAATTAATCGTTCTCTTGCGCAACGAGCAATTTTTTCAGCTAACTACTGTATACATACACAAACACACACACATAAGATGTGCTGCGCTTTATATACGAATACGTCGCCTGTGATCGGTATATCATCAAGTTATTTTCAAGAATACACGTGGATTTTTCCCTGAGACTGATTATAACGATTGAAACCTTTGTGCTACGCGGCGCCAAAAAAAGGCGTATTATGATATATCTTAAGCATTACAAACCGAACTATTCTGCCTTCTCCTTTCTTCTTCGCATCTCGTCCCGTAACGTCCGCATACTTTATTATGTCCGTTTTCTCCTGAAGAATCAACGCACAGGAACATCACGAGACGGTAAGTACAATTGATCGAACTGGTTCTGTCAAGATTTAAAATAACTCGCTTCCCTCACTTCAAATACGCCTTTCTAAATTGCTTCGATCGAACACAGCGTCGTTTCGGTGATCGGAACTCGCTATCTTATCTCTCTTTACAAATTGTCTCCGAATTTTCCGATTAATCACGATAAAAAATATGTGACTTTCTTATTATTAAATATCTTCAATTTGAGCCTTCTCGCGATTTTATTATACTTTGCATCCTCTCTTGCACATGAGTATTATTTTACAAGAAATTCTTTCTTTCATTTTAGAGTTATTTTCTTAGCGAGTATCTGGAATCGCCGATACGATGCATTAACATTATCCCCACACATCGCGAAAACAGAAGACAAAATGTAAAAAAAAAAAATTATTGCACAGTGAGCGTTGCTCGACGACATTCGGCCAAGAGAGGTATAAACTCTCGAAATAATTTTTTATATATTCTCTACACTTCTAGAAACAATGTGTGATCAATGCACTTAGCCAATTAACAAAACGAAAAACGTTATTTCGCGAATTGCACTTCCCACGTCATTGAATTGAGCCATTAATACCTGCAATTCATCTTTCATTCAAACTATAATTAATTGCTATACTGGAAGCTATATGAAAACGAATAGCTCCTTATAAAAATTGAAAATTAAAATCTTTGTATGTCATCTACACATACACATATGTATATATATGTATATATATATATATATATATATATATATATATATATATATACACATACACACACACACACACACACATATACATAAAAGAAAAACAAGATATGCACTTTTACGTGTGACAATTCAACATGCTTCCTGAATGAATAAAATATTAATTCTGAATTCAATAAATTGCAAATTAATTAAATTTTTCAAGCACCTATTTCCCATCGTCAGTTAACACATTTCATAAATATAACGTACGGCATAATATACACTCTTTCCACAATATAAAGTAAAACAAAAATGAGACTACGATGTGGTAACATAATCATCTGCGAGAATTATTTCGATTATATTACGCCCTTAATGTTCCTCGTAATCTAACGACGCGTTCTGTTGTAGCTCAAAGAGAAAAACTAACAACGAACGTGTGTTCTGATTTCACGAATCTCAGGATGAAATCATCCCTTAAAAAAAAGAGAACTTCCTAAAGCCATGTGCGAGATAAAAATATATCTGGTACGATAGCTATGTGTATTTTTTCGCACTCCTAAGATAAATTACTATTATTTAATTACATTATATCGCGTTATTTTATACTATTACTATTCCGCGAGACTCTCTCTTGGTTCGACATTCGAAAAAAAGCTCTCACGAAAGAGACTTTTTTTCATTTGCCTGTTGTCGTCATCACTTAAAGAACCATTTCTCTTCTTTCTTTATTCGCCTAAAAGCGTTACGTTAACAAACCTCTGATTATTTCAATTCTGATTAATCAGTCCTTAAGAGAATTAATAAAATATCCTCGTTTTATGGATATTCGTATATTTTACGTATATCCCAATTAAATACTGCTATATAATGTCACAGGTAGCTGTTTCCGTTACTGTCTCCATACTCTTAGCTGCGTTAATTAGATACTAAATCGTCCCATTTATTATATTTGCAATGAATTATTATATGTTTCAAAATTTGTGATTGCGCATCGTACTTCCGGCCTAATAACCGATCACCTTTCTTTATACCGTGCGAAAGACATTAACAGGACAGATAAACAAATTCATTAGTTTACACTTAAATCCAGGAACGGAACCATTATGTCCCTTGTTACTTTACTCACGAACTTCATTTCACTATAATATTGTACATTAGAAAATACTGATCGACAAGAGAAAATCAATTATCAGTATCGATCAGTTCAAAACATAAGACAAACAGAAAATTGTCAAACTGATCTTCATTATTGTAAGATTCTTGCGACGTGTTGCAGGAACTTGCTGTTCTTCTTCTTATAATACATCTAAGTTCTTTACTTTCTGCTCTTTGTAACACATTCAAGTAAACGGCCCTCGATTCATGATTTTCACAATTGTCGTCAAGTTTGAATATATCATTAGCTACCGAATCAACCATTGGAATTTTTATTACGCGTCTCTTGTCTCTTTTTCTGACGTTTTACGATAGTAGTTGTGGTGCTACCTTTGCCTTCGATTTTCTTCTGATGTTCCTTGGTTAGAATCGAAGTCGATGGTTTCGATATCTGGGGAGATGACTGCCCCAGAGATGCCTCCTGTCACCTGAGACTAATCAACACTTTTTCCACGTTTAGCAGAGACTTGACTTTATCGTTGTACTTGATGAGCGTGACTTTGGAGCCGCGCACGTTAATTCTTTCGCCGCCACTCAGCAGGTGACAACAACGCGTCTGCTCCAGGAAATCTGGCAGCTTCAGCTCGCGCATGACATCGCGATGCGCAATTGCAGATGGCCCGGAGTGCGCCTTCGGATTGATCTGACGTAGAAGAGCCTCGCGACTCTTTATTCGCAAAATCGCCATGAGATCTTGAAGCAGCACCCATTTGTCGGGATCGTTGTTCAGAGTGAAGAGGACAGGTAGGTTGATATCGCTTACTTCCATTTCGACATCGTTTAGCTCAACTGATTCGGGACTGTCCGATGGAACGTCGTCCAGTGGATTGTAGCCCGTCTCTTCCGGATCTGAAAACATTCATAAAAAATTAATAAAATGCATCTGGAATATATATGTGTGATATTTATGAAATTTCTTAGAATTTCCAAATAAAAACTTATGTCAACCATTACACACCTAAAACAGAAGCTGGACCAACGAATGACCATGGTACAGTGACGCGACCTTGGATATCAGCCAAGTGCTGTTCTAGAATAGCGTTAGCTTCGGTGTCGACGGCCAACATCAACGGCGTTTGTCCGGAGTAGGTAGCCAATAATGGATCAGCACCATACGACAGCAACAACCGTACAAGCTCCGTAGCACCATTCTCCGCTGCTTCGTGAAGCGGTCTAATAATGCGAGAAGACATATATATATATATATATATATATATATATATATATATATATATATATATATATATATATATATATATATATATATCACTTTCTATCCGATCAATAAACCATCTATATCCGTTTCTCGAGTTACACATTGACCCAACTCAAAAGTGATACTTATGAAAATGTAATTTTGACGGAAATATATTACCTGATACCACCGTTAGCACTCTCGCTGACGTTTGCACCGTAAGCCAACAAGAGTTTCGCGATCTCCAGATGACCTTTGGAACACGCTTCGTGAAGCGGCGTGTATCCCGCATTGTCTTTGGGACTCGGTGCACTATTGAGCTTCTCCAGACAATAAGCAGTCACGTCCTATAGCGGAATACAGGCAGATTATAGATTGTTATTTGCACGAATTATTGGTCAAATCCGACTGCGTGACGTAGCATCGTGCGATTGTCATCTTACCGTGTAACCAAGGCGGGCAGCGCGATGTAATATAGTTTCTCCGACGCCTTTCTTGATAACCCACGTCCTGATTTCAGATTGAATATCGGCCACACATTCCGGACTTGGTTTGTTAGCTTGGCTTTGCTGTAAGATATTGCGTTTTGATTATTGTAAACATAACTTATAATAAGAAATTTTAAAAATTAAGATAAAACAAATAGGAGATATGAAATACATAAAGAAATCTTATACATACTCTTTTCCTTTCTTTCGGCAATGCCTCGTCCTTCTTTAATGGTTTCTTCTTCTTGCGTATGTAGTCAAATCCAGAGCGGAATTTCCGTCGACCAGGTCGGAGTTTAAGCTTCTTTTTGTTACGCATATCCAAATCATTCTTGTCATCTTCGTCATTATTCTCTTCCTCCCTAACGTCATTCGTCTCTTCCTGTTCCATCTCAGTCTTGATGCGATATAATTTTTTATTCGCGAGCGACTTAAGCAAATCTTTCCGCCTCTCGGCGGTGAGCAGGCGACGTTTCGAGTTCGCGATCGCCTTGTGGCTTCGTAATATACCGGCGTTTCTCAAACGAGAGACCACTTTCTGCTTCAACGTTCGTGCTTTGCCCAACACGTTTTCTGGTGTTTCGTTCTGCGAATCATCGTCTTGCGACGTATCGTCGTGATTTTGCATCGGCGGAGCTGACGCGGGTCTATCCTCGCCGAATACCTCGCGAATAGTCGCCTCCTTCTTCAAGACCTTCGTCTCTGTTCTTGTTCTGCTCTTCAACACCATAGTGGAAAATTCATTGGGCAGCGTATGGTTGTTCTTAAACGCGTCGCGGAAATTATTGACCGTCTCTTTGCGGAAATAACCGAGAAGGACGGAGTTGGTGACTTTAATCGGATTTTTATTATTCTTCGAGATCTTATTTTTAGAGTTCTTCGAGGTCTCAGACGAGGTAAGAGACGCGAGACCCGGCGTCGGCAAAAGTTCTGGTTCGTTGCTGCTCTTATTAAGAATTTTACCACCCTTCGAATTCTGCTTCTTCTTCGAGTCCTTCTGACCACCACCACTTCCGACTTTTTGCGCGAGAACATCGACGATGGAATTGTTCTCCGATCGGAAATGTTTTGTCATGGTCTTCGGAGGGCAAGAAACGGTGGTTGACGAAGTTGCCTCCTCGTCATCGATTTTGCTACCAAGCCCAGTGATGCTGAAGCTATAATTGGATTCCATGTCACTGTCTATCAGCCTCTTGTTACGACTAAGACACACGTCGGAACTATCCATCGAAACGGACAGTGCCGGCGAACCGGGATCCAAATCCGGCAATGACGTGGACAGGCGATGAAAGCGCGACGGCTTCGACACTGTTATTAACCTAGGTGGCATTCTCAAAGACTTTTTATACACGTAGACCTCTTCTTCCCATCCGGGCCTAAAGTCACTACCATCGCCAAACAACGGTTTTGGTTTCGCTTTTTGAGAGGTTCCACCACCTTTGGGAGGCGTGGACATTTTGGACTCTTTCTCTGGCTTCGCTTTATGGGGAGTAGTATCCCTCGAACGAAGTTTCATACCTTCGGACACGTTAACTGAAGATCGTTTTCTGGCTCGAAGTCTGTCAGCTACCGAAGAACCATGGAACTCAGTAGTACTACCATCGCTATCCTCGCTCGAGGATTCACTGCCGCTGGAGGATTCGAGCTTGATCCTACTGCCGCGACGAATCTGTCTCCTTCGGCATATTTCTTCCTCGTCGCAATCACTATCCTCTTTCTTCACCTCTACCTTTTTTCTCTTAATTAACGGTACTTCATCCGAATCGTCACTCGAGTGTTTCTCGTCCTCCTTCAATCCAGGTTCCGTCTTGATCTTGATATCTTTAAGGATCAAACTTTTATCATCCTCATTCGTTTCTAGCAACTTCTTAACATCTTCGGACTTGCAAGATTGCGACGCATTGGTATCCGATTCCTTGTCACTGTCGTTAGCTGCTTCCTCGAGCTTTGACGTCGTGGTACCGCTCACCTTTTTTCTGCGTCCGCGTTTCTTCACGGCGTCACCAGTGCGTAATTGTTCCATAAACTTATCACAAGCAGTAGTCCAAAATGGATCCATCTCGTTGATTTTGTCATTTTCCTGCAAACAATGATTGCATTCATAAAATTAAAAAATCAATGTTATTTATATCAAATTTAAAAATACCCCCTTCCTTCTCTTGTATTAGTCATGCGAATAATTTTGTTCATCTTTCTTCATTTTACAATTGTTTATGTACTACTACTCTACTACGGTACATTACCTTCAGCTCTATCTTCACGAGATCTGTCGAGGACGCCATATTCATACACACTGCATCATTGAGGGGAATCGGGGGTTGCACTTTGGACAACTGTTTCCTGTCCCTCCTCATCTCCTCCAAAGTTTGCCGCTCAAGAACCGGCATCTCGTCGGAGTCGCTCTCCTGGAAGTCGAAGACGGATGTTTCGGACGAACTTCTGCATCCGCTCGCTCGGGTCGGTACCGTGGATGCGACTGTGACGGCGGGCACAGTCGCCGCTACGGGCATGTTGTCCTCATCAGTTCTCGAGAACAAACGTCTTCTGGGCGGCAAACAGACCGTTTTCTCGCGCGTTAGTTTCGGCGGGCTGCCCGCGGACGAACCGGACTGCGGTGTCGACGTCGAGGCCGCATTATCGATCTCTATATATACCAAATATAAATCCAATTATACGCACGTCAAAAATGATAACAGTCTGCATTCAAGCATAATCGATGCCATTGAACAATAATACGCTCGAATAGAAAAAATTCTTATCCAATAATTACCTTTCGGCGTAGACGATATATCCTGAGGAGCTGCTTTCGTAAACTGTCCGGTCCCGACCTAAATAGAGAGACAGAAAGATCTCGTGAGATTATCGGTAATCAATAGAAATGATATACGCATAACAATTACGACAAGCATTACCTGTTTGAGTTCTGCCTTCGTCCTAATTTTCGCGGCTAAAATGGCGGCGAGGCCGTCGTCCTTGTCACGATGAATCTGATTCTCGGCGCCGCGGGGTCCCGCGAGAGAAGCCTCCTTGCCAGGTAACGTGGCGGATGCGTTCACCCTCGAGGCGTACATGCTGCGCGGTGCCTCCTGAGTAATCGAGTCTACTGCTCGCGGAACATGGAGCTTGTAATGCGGCGGTGTATTGCTGTTGCGCTCCAGCAGACTCGCCGCCGTGAACGGTGACAGATTGTGTCTACCGATGTTCGTTTTAGGTTCGACTGGCGCGACAACCTAAGGGAATTTCATCGGGGATTGTCATCAGAATTGAATAAATGAATAACAATCGTCTGTATCTAAAGAAACTAAATGTCTTATTTAATCAAAATTCATTCTTCAATGAAAGATCTTGATTTTTTAAAATCACGTAAAAAGAGCAATCGACGTAATGAATATCTCATCAAATTAACAATAAATCATCAGATAAAAGCAATCACAAAATTGTGGAGATTAAATCAGTGAGATATATAATAGATTTTTTCCGAATTATCACAGATAAAACTTTGAAATTACCTTATTCTGGAAACTTTGCTGGCTGTGATTAACCAAAATAGGCTGCTGGCTGTTGAGCTCATCCCTCTGCTGTTTGTTCTCCAGACTATTCCTTAGCAAACTGAGCACTCTCTTGTCAGCGCCAGTATTACTAGGTTGATCTATCGGTTGGCCGCCGGACGTCACGCTCAGAGAACTTGTCGTCTTTTGAACTGTCTGACGATAAGGAGAATAGATCGATGAAGCACCACTTAACTGTTGCGGTAACACATGTATGTTCGCGTTAGGTTTTGAAGTTATCGGGTGATTGTACGACGAGGGCGAGCTCCTCACAATTTTGGAGTCCGGATAGGTCTTCTTATCACAGTAAGCCGGCTGATACCTAGACGATTCCGGTGCGGGATAATCGAGTCTTTGATCGTAAACGCCGGGTGTCACTAGAGTTCCGTTCGGTAAAGGAACCGGCAAGTTCATCTCCTGCCGTTTCTGCTGTTCGTTCAGCGCGCTCGCAGTCGACAGCTTCGGCTCGACGATCTGTTTGTCGGTGCTTGGTACTCGCCAAGAAATCCTGGGCTGTTTGCTAGGACTCCCTACGCCGTAAATTGCTTCCCCGGCCCTCTTGAACGGCATACGCTGAGAGAACTGCTGTTCGAATTTGGCCCTGTTATCGCCTAAATAATACTTGTTGGGGTCGGGCGCGTAATCCTGCGCGGGCAGTGTAGGCGGACCGACCCGTGACGGGTCCACCATCGGGGAATACTTGGAGAACCTCGAAGAATCATTCGTTTGGAGATACGATGCAGACGATGCGGACGACGATGACGAAGGCGGCGGTATCGTCAGACCGTCATAGAGTGATGTGGGCAGTGGACGTTTCTTGAACGTGGACATGTGAGGCAGTGGTGCCGTATTGTTCGCGTGATGGGTCGAGAGGGACTGAGCGGGCGGAACGTATAACTGCGTGGTGCTCCTACGAAGAGGATTCTCGTGATGCGATTGATGGCGTAGCGGCGCTGAGTTGAAGTCCGGCAGGAAATCGACCTTGGGCGCACACACCGTCTGCGGCGTCGATGCCCGGACACAGGTCACGGGCATGGGATTCCTCGAGCTGTTGCTCGAAGGTCTAGAATCGTACGACGAGTACGACGGCTGAACTGGCGTCGACTGATGCACGGCAGGCGGAGGTGGCATCGGTCTGCTCACGTTGCTTCTGATGGTACCCAAGCCCGAGCTACTGACATGCTTGTCGGTGCTGGTGGCTTCGAGATCGTCCTGCGCCGTGGAATCAGCCGACGTCTTAACTGTCTTTACGGATAAGTCCAAAGGAGACTCCCTCTTCCGAACTGTATTACTCGGCGACGGAGAATTCGCCATAGCTGCGGCCGGAGCAGTCTGACCGCTAGACGACGCTGGGTTTTGATAAGGAGGATACTCTTTGTAGCCATAATTTTCAGTCGTCATTCGCGACTGATGATGGTGATGGTGATGATGATGAGACGACGATCCCGCCGCTCGATCAGGCTCGTCGGAAGACTGATACGCGTGGATCGTTGAAACGGAAGACCTCGCGCCGCCGATACCGCCGTGACTAATAGAGGTCACCGTGGTGCTGCTCGTGGAGTTGCTGCCGTGATGACTGGGTGCGAGCGTAGTGGCGTACGACGACGAGAGGTAGCCTTGTTGGCCGCTGTATCGACTGCCATACGTCATGTTCGTCACGGTGGTTGTCCTGCCGTTCACTGGTATCGCGTGATTCATTACCGAGGCCGGAGTCATCGGGTATTCGGCGAGTCTCTGCGCGGGCATCGAGGAGGGCGTCGTCGGTAGCATTGCGGCGGGTGTCATTTTGCTATTAGCATTCGTCGAGTGTATTCGTTGTCGTTGCACCATTGACTGTGCCGATTTCCCCAAAGGTTCTCGCCTGTTGGAATGATAGGATGATAGGGCAGCGATGGGTGGCAGATTGTGCGTGTTGCTGTTCCTCTGCGTAGATGATGCGTTCCGATGCGTAGCGTAGGGCGTTGCGGCATCTATCGCGTTTCTCTTCGCGATCTCCGCGCCATTGTATGTAGTGTGTTTGCTGCCACTCTGTTGATAGCTACCTAGATTGTTGCTACTAGGTGTACCGGGAAATACCGTCTGCGACGCTAGCATCTGCTGCATACCGTACGATTGACTATGAGATCGGCCGGATTGAGAATAATAATTACTCCCCTGAGACTCTGACTGTGAGCTCTTCTGGAAGGAATGGTACGAAGGTTGTGACGACGGCGCCGATGCGTAAGGCATCGCCATATCACGAGCCGTGTAATTCGTCTGATAATGCTGAGGGGTGACCGATGACAGGTTGTACGAGTGCGGCGTCGATCTCGACGAAGCCGGCGGCGGTGGTGGCGGCGGATAGGTCGGCGAGTGCGGCTGGAAGCTGTTGTGCGGCGAAGGCGTATGATGAGGAGATGGAGATGCGTGCGGATTGTGTAGATTGGACACGTGGGGCGATTGCCGCTGCGGCGACGGAGTTGCGTGATGCGGCGACGGCGTGGCGTGATGCGACGGCATCTCGTGATGCGGTGACGGCGTTGTTCCTGCATGGTAGCTGCTCGGCGGTGGTGGCATATGCTGCTGCGGATGGTTCGCCACCGCGGCGGAAGAGGTCGACGTTGAGACGCCGTGCAGGGGCGGCGGTAACACGCGACTTCCGTACGAGGAACCGTGTGAATGCGGTGAAACATTTATACGACTAGTATATTGCTGCTGTTGCTGCTGCTGCTGCTGCTGTTGATGATGCATCGACGAGGCGGCGGACGGCGACGGAATGTGCCCCGGAAGATTCTGCGACTGCGATTGCGAAGGAATGTGACTGGAGGAGGAATTGTTTGCAGCGGGCTGACGCGGGCTGATCGCCGACGACGAGGAGAAAGGAACGGTGGAAGAGTGCGGTGCTCCATCCGAGCTATGCGATCTGTCATTGAGGCTCGAAGCGGAAGTGGTCGCTAGACGATGAGCCTGTTGCTGATATTGGCTCGAGGAACGATAATTCTGAGAGGAAGAGGGAGTGCCGGATCCGTACACATTGGATCCGCCGAGAGGATTCTGAACGGACGGCACATTGCTGCCGTAAGTACCGGGTACTCGTTGCTGCTCCGGCGGACAGTGTCCTTGAGCGACTATTCCGGACGACGACGTGTTGTTCTGCTCCATCGGTGTCGGCCTCGTGCTCGGTTGTTGAACCGTGCTCGAAGGTTGCGCTACATTAGCGGATTGATAAATGGAACTCTGCGAGTACGGAGCCGGTGCGCACTTGGTGATGTCCGGATGATGATAACGCGGATAATATTGAGTCCTCTGCACGACAATCGGCTGCGATTGCCGATCGTTGTTGCTCGCCGTCTGATAAGTCGAGACGGGATGTGACGAAGATGAGGCGAGCATATCCGCCGTGTTGAAAGATGACCTGCTAACATTGTTGAGTTGCTGATACACCGGTCCCGGGGAATGTGGTGGCTGAGGCGGCTGCATCTGATGCAAGTGCGACGACAAGTTTGAAGCCGAAGGATGCAACTGGTGATGATGATTGTGATCGCTGGAGGACGACGACGAAGACGATGACGATGCTGGCGGTGATCTTTGCGAGAAGTTTGTCGACGATGCGATGTTTGAGGCGACGGCGGCAGCGGCGGCGGAGGAGGAGGAGGTAGAGGAAGAGGACTGGTGATTAGAAGGTTGCATTTCGGTTAAAGTAACGGTGCCCGAAGGGGAAGAGGAACTAGGTTCCATGGCGGAGCTTTCATCGCCTGGTCTCGTGTCCGGGACTTCAACCTTGGTCGGCTGCGGCGGATAAGGTTCCACGTGCGGATTCCAGAAATTAGAACCGGAAGCATTGCTGGTCTCCACCGACAACGACGGTCTGACGTCGGTGGGGTAACGATTCGACTCCTGGCCACTGCCACCGCTGCTGTTGCTGTTGGCGGAAGTCGAGATTGACTGAGTCGGCTGCGATGCATCATGATCGTGCGTCGTCGTCGTCAATGTCGACGAGGCGGAATTCGTGGAGGATGTCGCGTGGAGATCCACCGACGTGGCCGCGCCACCACCTGTACTAGGTACGGGCAGTCCCTGGAAGTACTGGCGAGCCCCCTCTAACACGTTCGTGAAGCTCACATCCATGTCACGCCGACTGCTAATCTGCAACAACAAGATAAATACGGATTAAAACCTCGTCTGAATAAGCACGCGTGCATACATAGTACATGATGTTTATAAATCGTATAATCCATCTATCAAATACAATAATTCTAGAAACAAATATATTCTCTTTGTCTTGTGTCATATATAACAATAATATCTACATTATTTGATATCATGTCGGAATTGATAATCAAAAACAAAGTCATCATTCACGCTGAATTTATTAAAAAGATTCATCGACCGCGGCAGATTTCGGGTCAGGGTTATATGGTCGCGAAGCTTCAAAGTCGAAGTCCGAAGGGGCACTTCTCTCTGGGGATTACCGAATCGTTCACACGATGCCATCGAACGTGCTGGCAGAACGTGCCGGCAACGGAGGAGAACGAGGCCGAAGCATTAATCTTCATTGTCTTGTATTTGTCTGTTACGAGAGAAGAGCAGACGTATACACACACACACATTCTCTCTCTCTCTCCTCCCCAATATCTTTTTCGTTTTTGATCTTAACACATAAAAAACAGAATAATAATACATTTTAAATGATATGTTATAATACTCGATTGATATTTTTAACAGCTATCAGTCGATTTCTGTCAAAAAGTATTAATCGCGGATAAAATACTGTAACATATTTACCTATCACTATGTTAATATTTTTATTATATTATTACTTTGAAATTTAATTGGCAAACGCTTTAATAATATTTTTTTACAAAAACCAACTGATTAAAACACTAATTGAGTTTTAAAATAACTCGATTAATATTTTTGACAGTTATCAGCTGATTCATGTCAAAAAATATTACTCGTAAACAAAGTATTATAACATATTATTTACAACATATTACTATTTTAATTTTTATATAACATATTATTATTTCAAATTTAATTAGCAAATTTTCGCTTTATTAATATTTTTGACAGAAATCAGCTGATTAAAGGTGCATTAATTTGCTAATTAAATTTATATTAATTAAGTTTTAAAATAATATGTTATAAAAATAATATATTTTAAATAATATATTGCAGCTCTCCGATCTCGCATTATTAATTGCGTGGCATTACGAAAGATAAGATCATTCTTGTCGCAATCTATCGGAGAAGACAAAAAGTGCATGGTAAAAGAAGTTGAATTATAGACGACAACTATACAAACATCCTTCGAGATACAGAATACTCTGACGACTTCAAGTATCGATATAGAAAATTAACTGTATCCGCATTCATTAAAAAGTCGAGACGATGTAATATAATATATCAATGTAATACAGATACAGGGTGCAATATAGATGTAAGATATCGGCGCAAAGATCCACTCTCCATTATCGCGTGAATGAACGACTCGACTTTTACCGCTTTTTGTTTGAAGGGCGCGACTTTCGGGGCAAAGGTGGGCTGTATCGGCGTTTAATAATAGTTCCGATGGGAGTTTCGGTTATCATAATAGGACTGCGCGACGTTATTACCACCATCATCGCCGCGAGGCAAACAGCCTCTTCAGCGATTGGCGAAGCATCAAAGGCCCCTCGTCATCCTCTACTCGAAGCAGCCGGTCGCCTGTAATATAGATCGCTATCGATCGGCCCAGGAAGAGAGAGAGCGAGAAAGAAAGAGACGATTGATAGTTCGGTTCCAAGATTTTCGATATGTGCCAGCGATCTCGCATCGTGGCTCATTGAGACGTGGAAAAAGAGGGCGTACAAGTTAGATATCGGAAAGCTGTAAATATATATATATATATATATATATATAACACGGGAAGCCGTATGTACGTGTCGAAGACACGCACCAAGACCACCGTTAACATCACCAACGAGGAAGGTCCCGACTATCGCATAGTCTCGTAATAATCGGATAAAGCGAGAGACAGTCGGAGCACAAATATAATTGCAAATATCGATACGAGATCGGATTTCACGCGTATCGCATATAATACTCGGAACAACGCACAATTGTAATCTCGCTGTTCATATTTTTTTATCTATTTCCAGGATTAACCATCGTTATCGTAAATGGCTGATAAAAAGAATTATAAAACACCGTAAAAGAGTTGTTTCTCGGGCTTTTATCAAACTTTTTCGTGAAAACCCAAAAAGTGAAAAAAAAACTGCGCTATAACTCTCTTATATTATGATGAACTTTACTAGTCCGGTTTATTTTTTTATTTTTCACTTTTTTGTGTATTTATGTGCAATGTTGCAGCACACGGCGATTCTACTTTTCTTAAAGTTTGTAACCGTTTTTTATAGACCGACTATTTCGTTGTTTTGTATAAAAATTTATATTATAAACCATTAGATTTTTATTAAATTATATTATAATTTATAAATCGTTCAAATATATATATATATAATACATACACAGAGAATTGTTTTTATAAAATTAGAATAATGTACGAATTAGAATTTACCTTGAAAATAATGGTAATCGTGGGAGTAATATTAGAATTTTATAAAAATTTCTCTGATTAATATATCTACCACAATAATATATAAAATATATTAAATTAATTGTTCTACTATAAATAGTAAAATATTAATAATTTTTATTGCAGTAAATATTAATCAGAAAAATTCTTCCAAAATTCTTCGAATACTATATTGTCCCACGATTGTCCCATGATATTCTTCAGGGTAAATTCTAAGAAAAAATTCTCTCCCTATAGATTTGCAAAAACTGATGAGAAGCTATAGTAGAAAAATAATTTTGACAGTTTGAAATTAAAATATAACATCATACACATGATATGTCAAAATAGCCTTCACATTTTTCTAAAACCATCCATCAAAAAAGACTAAATATCGTATAAAATCTGAAAGATGCCTCATGCTTCGAAAGATCGAACATTATTATCACGGTCGACTCCGGAAAGTTGCGGGACTCCCTTCGGAGCACCGGAATCGTGCCCATTGACTAGATTCGCGGGCATAACACCGAGCCTCTCGCACGCTCGATAGAAACGGCTAGGTGGGAATCAATATCGCGCACCCTTGCCGAGCAACCTGAGGGTTTGGTCCCCTTCGTCAAAGACCCCCTCTCTCCCTGCGACCCGTCCCATCCGTCTCGTTCCATTCCCGTTCTCCATTACATTCTGTCCCGTTACACGCTCGTATACGTACACGACGATCCCGCGCCGATGTTGTGCGCGCGAGGAAAAGAGAGAGCTGGGTGGTGTATGTGGGAGAGACGGTTTAGCTGGAATTCTCACGATTTCAAGCATGGTCGGGCCACTCGATAAGGCTACACCGTAGGGTAATAAATATCCGGGCTAAAGCAGTGGCCCCGACGCGAAGCGACGCGACGCCGCGTTTCGGAGGTTTCGACCGGCGAGGGCGCATTTACGCTCGAGTCGCTTTAAAACGAAGAGGCCGCCCGATAAGATCCGCGACAAATGGCGTCATCTTTCTCTCTTTCTCTCCTCCTCTGGCGAGAACGGCGAAATTATGTGGCGCACGTGGTAAGCAATCTCCGTAAATACCGCGAGAAGTGATCGATCATAGGCGATATCCGCGATCCCACGCTGGAAATGATATTCCTACAGGAATATCATTCGCGATTGGCCTACTTCTATAGATCACGAGCGTATATATTTACCTGAGGGAAGACGCGTTCAATTTATATCTATAGAATCAAATTGAATACTTGAAACGTCGCTAGTGGTATTTAAAATAGGAACGATATATTTCGTTCGACCGAAACTAGCCAAGAAATTTTTATTTTATTTCTGTTTTTGGTCCTTTTCAAGTGAAAAACTAGAATGGTACAATTAATTAAAATTAATAAACATTGATTTTGATGTTAAACGCAAGAATTAAAAATTTTTTGCATACTTCCTTGATAAAAGCGCAATTAGTTGACACTGTTGTCATGATTATTAAACAATATGATTATCGGAATTTTTTAAAAACTTTTGAAAGAAAGTAACCGCATCTTATCGTTATGATGAATCGTCAAAAAACTGAGTATATAAAATTTGAAGTACCAAAAACAGATGGTCGAAACGTTGTGGAAATAAAATAAAAATTTCTTGGCTAGTTTGGATCGAATTAAATATATCGTTCTTATTTTATATCTATAGATTAAATTAAATAACGTGTATAATATACGAAGCGTATCCTCATTAATAATATTTGCTCCTGTGTGCTCTTTCAAAATATGGAATCGATTATTTATCTATATGTAGTCACAAAATTATCACGGAATTAAAAACGTGGAATTACAAGAACGTATGTGCTGATTAATGGATAAATTAATATTGTTACCTATCTCAGAAAATTATCAATGATTGATGATTCTACAACAACGATCATTTTTTCGTCGGAATCACATTTTCACTTGATATGTTTTTCGCCATTACGTCGATTAATTTTACGCGAAAGGGAAGCAAACACGCTCGCTCAGATTGCAAGTTCGTAAAACGAAGCACCTGATTCGTGCGGGCCAGAATAACGCACGAAGGTCCAGAGTTTACCGGTGGTTTGCAGGCTGACCATAGATTCGACGTCGAGATAATTCGCTGGCGCTCGATTAAAAGCCGCGCGACCAGGCAACGGAACGAAGCAGAAGAGAACGCGAGAGAGAGAGAGAGAGACTAATGCCTTAAGCAGAGTTAAGCCGCGGCTTAACGACGACCACGATGCCGCAAACGCGTTCTTACCTCTACCTACCCTCAGCCTCCGGGAAGACTAACGAAATCGTTCACAATGTCGCAAACTTTTGTCTCAATCAGTTTAAAATTCAACCTATAAACTGTACTCTGCTCGTATAAATCGAATTCCGGGTTTTGTTCCGTCATAATAAATTGCTGAAAGAAAAACACGATGGATTTATGGAATTTATAATCATAAATTACTTCTCGTAAAATCGATGTAATATCTTAAATTAATTTTTTCTGATATTTTCATTTATAATAAAGTATCATTATTATATTTCTCATCAAGATGTGAGCATATTATTTACATATATTAATTTGTTAATTGTTTAATTAATGTTAATTA